TGCAGCACAACTTTTCATTTCTCTGGTTGTACACAATGTATCATCGCACCATATGTGCAGTCATACAAGTACCTAGGGTAATGATGTCCATCTCATTCCACTATCTTTCCTACCCCCATTCCCCCTTCCCACTCCTCCCTCCCCTTTGCCCCATCAAAGTTCCTCCATTTTTCCTATGCCCCTCACTCCCATTATGAATCAGCATCCACTTATCAGCATCCACTTTTGGGGATTGGCTTACTTTGCTTAGCATGATATTCTCCAACTCCATCCATTTACCTGAAAATGCCACAATTTTATTCTCTTTTAATGCTGTGTAATATTCCATTGTGTATATGTACCACAGTTCTTCATGCATTCATCTATTGAAGGGCATCTAGTTTGTTTCCACAATTCAGCTATTGTGAACTGAACTGCTGTAAACATTGATGTGGCTGCATTATTAAAGTATGGTGATTTTAAGTCCTTTGGGTAAATACCAAGGAGTGGGATAGTTCCATACAGCTTTCCAGATTGGTTGTACCAATTTGCAGTTCCACCAGCAATGTATGAGTGTGCCCTTTCCCCCACATCCTCACCAACACTTATTGTTGTCTGTATTCTTTATAACTGCCATTCTCACTGGCGTGAGAATAAATCTTAGAGTAGTTTTGATTTGCATTTCCCTAATTACTAAAGACATTAAACATTTTTTTCATATATTTGTTGATCAAATGTATGTCTTCTTCTGACAAGTGTCTATTCAGCTCCTTAGCCTATTTATTGATTGGGTTGTTTGTTTTTTTAGGTTAAGTTTGAATTCTTTATATATCCTTTATCTATCTGACGTGTGTGGCAAAAATTTGATCCCAAAATGTAGGCTCTCTCTTCACCTCATTGTTTGTTTCTTTTGCTGAAAAGAAGCTTTTTAGTTTGAATCCATCCCATTTATTAATTCTTTATTTTATTTCTTGTGCTTTAGGAGTCTTGTTAAGGAAATCAGGACCTAATCTGACATGATAAAGATTTGGGCCTATCAAAACTAAATATTAAGGAAATTAATAACCCAATATAAATTGAACAAAATATTTGAATAGGCCCATCACCAAGCAAATTATATGAATGGACAATAGGCACATGAAAAGATTCTCAACATCCTTAGTCATTAGGGAAATGCAAATTTAAAACACCATGAGATACCACTACACATTTATTATAATAGCCAAAACAAAACCCCATAATTCTAAGTTCTGACAAAGATGAGGCAACTGGAATTCTTATTCCTTGCTGGTGGGGATGCAAGATACTATATACACTTTGGAAAATAAGATAGCAGTTTGTCATAAAGCCAGCATGCATTTATTGTTACCAAGGAAAAACCTAAATAAACCACCTAGTAGCAGCACTTGCTCTCACCTGACTTAAAGTCACTCATTTTGGAGGTCATGTGGCAGCCACGCTACTGAACCACCTTGGAAGCACTGCCTCCAGCCCTCACCAAGTCACCCTATGCCACAGGTCTTCAGATCTTCCAACTGAAGTCCTCACCAGCAGGAAGCAGTTTCCCCTCTGTCCTGTTGAATTCCTAACTCACAGAAACCATGAGGTAATAAGTTGTATGAGCCAGTGTTCTCTAGTGAAACAGAACTAAAGAATGTAGATATAATTACATGAGGGAATTTATTGACTGACTTACACCATCAGTATCTGGATAGTCCCACCAATGGCTGTCTACAGGCTGGAGAGCTGGGGAAACCGGCAGCTGCTCAGTCCAAAAAGCTGGGTACCTTAGAACAAAACGGACCCATGATGTATCCTCCTCAGTCCCATTCTGAGTCTCTGAAAGGCCCCTGGAGCCTTGGTGTGAGTCCATATTCAAAGGCTAAAGAATCTACGGTCTGATGTCCTTCGGCAATGGCAACAGCAAAAAATGCTGCTCACAAGAGTTGAGACTGTGTGTGACCGAGTTTCCTCCCCCCCCCTTCTTTTTTCCCTTGGAGGCTCTTAGCTTATTGGACAGAGCCACCCACAGTCAGGGCAGGTCATGCCCCCTCAGTTCACCAATCCACATGCCCGTTGTCTCTGGAAACACCTTTACAGACACACCCAGAGGGCGCTCAATAAGTTTTCTAGGCATCTGTCAACCTAGTCACATAGACAACTACAATTAACCATCACAGAAATTATAATTTTTGTTTTTAAGCTACTAAGTTTAGGGGTGATTTGTTATGCAACAGTGGACTACACAAATACTCAAGTATTTCTGTATCCGGAAATGGCCAATTTGTCCATGTCTCTGTGATGGATGCCATAGCCCTCTGCAGTCCTGTTGCTCATTCGAGGGCTCATCCTGCACTGGCTTCTTTGTTTACACTGTGAACATTGAAAACTTAAAAGAGATGTTTGACCAGTGAAAAATCAGATGGAGATGGGGAAGGAAGGGGCTCTAATCATAAAACCCCTGCTAGGAATTCTGTGACTCTGTAGATTTTTATGAATGGAAAGCCTCAATGAACCCACAATATAAAAGAGAAACAGCGATCTGGACGTGAATGTGCAGGCCTTTAAGCCCAGCTACTCCTGTGGCTGAGGCAAGAGAATTGAAAGTTCAAGGCCAGCCTGGGCAACTTATCAGGATCCTGTCTCAAAATAAAGTAAAAAGGACTGGGCTGTAGCTTGGTGGTAGAGTCCCCTGGGTGCAACTCCTAGTACCAAAAACAGAGGGGAGCAGAGGAAGTGCTTGTTCTTGCAAAAACAAAAGACATGGGAAAGGTTTGAAGAAGGCAGAGTTCTTCTAAGCCCAGGCCAGCCGGGCTATGTTGCCTGTTCTTCTAGGCTGGAATGGTGGCCAGTTGGGACCAAGGGACCCAGTCTGAAGACAGCTGTGCCCACTTCCCAGATGACCGCCTCACATGCTCCAAAGCTCTGAGCTATCTCAAGCGGTGTGATGACTTTTTTTTTATGATGCCTTTCTGTCCTTTGTCCCTTCTTGGGGCTGCCAGGACTAAACATTTTTAAACCCTCTTTAAAGGACTTTAAAGTCCTTTTTCTTCCTTATCTCTCCCACTTCAACTCACACCTCTAAAAGTTTGGATCTGGATGATCCCAGGTAAGGCCTGTGGGGCTCTCAGATGCTGATGGTTGGGAAGAAGTTTTCCAGAGCTCTCAGAAAGTTACAGCTATTTCCTTGCCCGGGATAGGTCTGGAAGATCTTTCTGAGGTGAAGACATACCTTACCACCTGTGGCAGAAACCTGTTGGTGGAGACTCCCAGATCCTGCTGGTCTCTGGGAAGATTCCATAAGAAACCTGCCTCAATGGATGACTCATAACTCAGGAGCTGGATGTCTGCAGTGGAAAAGTACAGGAGGTGAGTGAGTGGGATGGAAGCTGTGTGGTTACACCTGGGCCTCCTATGAAAGTCCTAGAGAGGGACAACTGGCAGCAGCGAGACTCAGCCCCAGGACTGAGTCAAGATTACAAAGACTTCAAAGTCAAGATTTCACATGCTACCTGACCCTAAGAGAAATATTTCATTTTTAACTGTTGTATGTCACAGAATTCAAAGTGTCTAGGGTCTCGTCTGGAGTATCCTGCCAGGCTCAGGAAATACACAGGCAGTCAAGGGTGTGGGTATTGAAATCAAATAGACCAGAGTTTGAGTTCCAGTTCACCATTTACTAGCTGGGTGACTTGGCAAGTTATTAATCTCTGACACTCTTTCCTTAAGGTAAGAAGCCCTGTCTCACAGGACTACTGCAAGTTTTAAGTGAGTAAATTTATTAAAGCATTTCAGAGGGTGTTTGGAACATAATAAATATTCAGCAAAGGGTAATGATGATTGGAAAGAGTCCTGGTTGGGCTGTATGATTTCAGAAATGACACCTCAGAGGCTGAAGATGGCCTGGTTATGCTAATTCAAAGAAAGGAAGTGAAAAGAGGTGGCAGAAATTTGGGGGAAAGAAAAATGTTTCTGGGATTTGGGGTTAATTGGGACAGCCATCAGGGCTTAAGAGACAAAGAACTTGGTACATAGAAGCAGGAGTACCAGAAAAGTGAGTTTCATAGGTTCACATTGAATGGTTTTTTTAAAAACATGCATTCCAATTTTGTGATGCATATATCATAGTATGCATTATGGCATATTTTGCTATAAAGAAATTCATAGCAATGAAAAGATTTCAAACTTAACTAGTTTATACCAACAGCTATTTCATCATAAAATTCCAGGGGAATGTGACCCCCAGGATATTTTCTTAATCTGTTCATTTGTAACTGCTGTGACCACATTCTGAATGTTCTATTTTTTTGTGGTTTTCTTATTTGGTTGTTTTGGTGGTGCTTGGAATCTAACCCACAGCCTTGAGCGCCAGGCAGGCGCTCTACCACTGAACTACACTCTGAGCCCCTTCTATTGGTTTTTGAAAATCCTGGGAGAGTTTCCTTTTTTTTTTTCTTGTTTGTTACAGGTTCTTCATTTTTTAGATGTATTAGAATTGGATTTGAAGATGGGCAGGCATCTTATATAACTTTTGGCTAATCCAAGGTAGGTGAGTCTGGCTTTAGCTGCGTGGAGAAAGATAATGGTGATTTTGAATGTCACTGGAAAGGAGCTTTGGGGGGAAAGAAAGGACATGCATTATGCAGAAGCTGCTTAAGGGTTGGAGTACACAGGATAGCAACTCAGCAGGGGTGTGGAGGCTCCTGCTAGTTTCTTATTAGATTTGAACTCAGCCATGCTGTTATGAAACAGGGGCCCTTTAAAGAAACATTGGAAAGTACTTGGGTCACTTTAAGGGCAGAAATTCATGAAGTTCCGGTACCCTCAAGGAGCCCTCCCTCCCTTGACCATGGGAACCATAGGCTAAAGACAAAGGAGACCTCTGTCTTTCCCACCTTAGGAGCCCGAGGGAAGCAAGAACGCTTCAGCTTGGCTCCGGAAGATTCATGTTAAACACAGTGTGGAGCTGCTACCCTCTCAAGAACAGTGATTCAGAATGAGGTAAGAAAACTTGTGGAGGCAAGTCCCTTTCAACTCTTTAGGGTAGGGAAGTGGTCTGAGGTATCCATAGCAGGAATTATTTAATAGAAATTTTCAGTCTTGGAGATGGAGGGGACTTCCCGAACAATCTAGTCCAAATTTTTTGTTGCCATGGATCTCTTCTTTAAATAAAAGCTTCAGAGAGCCCAAAGTCAAACCCTTATGAAAGCAAGATTGCTCTTGTTGAAAAAGTGGGGGAGGAGGGGAAAAGAAATTTAATTTATAAAATTAGAGAATTTCAAAAGAGTATCATGGAAGAAAATATTTTTATTTATGTTTATATCATAGGCTAAAGCAACATTGATCAGAAAAAAATACAGATTTTTTTAGTTCAAATCTAATAATACATTTAACTTAGAAGGAACTTTCGATCTGTAGGGGCATTTTCATTGGGAGACATGAGAACAGGGATATCTTTTAATGACATGTATATCTTTTAGTGACAAGCAAAGGAGACTTGGATGAAAACTTTTAAGGGTTACAAGACTGTGCTGGGCTAACTTAAAACAATGTGTCCTACAGTACCACCAGGTGGCGTCCGCGTTCGGCATTTTGAGAATGTCTGGATTTCTTCCCGCGAGTCACAGGGCCTTGTGCCTTTTCAGGTTTAGAAAATCTGATTGGGCTTCACGCTCAAGAAAACACAGTTCTGTGGTTTAACCTCCTTCGCTCTCACTTTCATTCCAACTGTCGAAGTGCGCTTAACATCAGCATTATTAAGGAGTGTGAAGTTTTCAGAAAGGGGCAAGGGAAAAAAAAAAACTTCTCCAAACATACTAAAGAAAAGGAAGAGTCTTTCAAGAAGTCTGGTGCAGGAGGAGGAAGGCTGGGCTTTTGAAACTTTAATTCAGGGTTCACCACTGGATGAGGAAGCACGGAGTCTCAAGTTTCCTCACTGGTAAAAATGGCTCTTTGAGCTCTACTATCTGTGGCATGCTGATGCAGGGAAGTTAGACAAACCCCAGCTTCAATTCTCGATCCCAGTTATAACTTTAAAACAGCGATATCATTTGGCATGGTTACTGAGATTAAATAATTTTCATAAATGCTAGTACTGTACGTAAATGGTCTTCATTATTATTGCCTTTTTTTGGGGGGGGGGAGAACCAGGGATTGAGGGGCACTCGACCAGAGCCACATCCCCAGCCATATTTTGTATTTTATTTAGAGACAGGGTCTCCCTGAGTGACTTAGGGCCTCGCTAAATTGCTGAAACTGGCTTTGAATTTAGATCCTACAGCCTCAGCTTCCCAAGCCGCTGGGATTACAGGCGTGCGCCACGACGCCCGGCTTTATTACTGCCTTTTTATGTCACCATCTCCCTCCAGACGGCCACTCCAGCAGTTGGGAAGTCTAAACAATACACATATACATTTAGAATTCATATATATTCATGCAGGAGGTTTTAGCACTCCAGATTGCAAAGTGCTACTTAATTGCAGACTGTGAAGGCTGGCTGCACTTTGGAACAGATACACAGGGTTTCACAAATCTTCTGCCCGGGCCTTTCTTCCACCCCCTGTCGCGTGCCCCAACCTTGCGCGCAGCAGCCCAAGCTGGCAGCTCAGGACGCGTGCTTCTCGCCTTTAATCACCAGCTACAGCGCTAGGGACACGGAGAAGCGCCCCGCCCCCGTGCGTCAGAGCGTAGTTGCGCAGAGGCGTTTCCCGGGGCGTGCCTCGGTTGCTAGGCGACCATGCCGCTCCCCCTCCCGCCCTGGCGCTCCGTCTCCCTCCTCCCGGTCCTGGCTAGTCGCGAGCGAAGGCGCGCGGAGCTGCAGTGTCTGGCAGAGAATCCCCGGGGAAGCGTCGCTCCCGGGAGGCAGCCTTCACAGCGCAGGTGGACGCGGCCCGCCGAGTCCGCCAACCGCCGCCCCTCCCCCCGCGGGGGGTCCCGAGCTCAAGATGGGAGGCACTGCTCGCGGGCCGGGCCGGAAGGATGCGGGTCCGCCCGGGGCCGGGCTCCCTCCCCAGCAGCGAAGGTAACGGCGCCGCGGGGTAACGGGCTAGGGGTGCCAGAGTGAGCGCTTGGCGCTGGTAGGCGAGGCCGGGGGTCGGGGAGGGTCTGGACTGGTGGTCTAGCGAGCCCCCAGCAGGAGGGACGAGGGAAGGGGTCTGATTCCCTCCCTGGACGGGCCCCCTCCCTTCTTTTCCATCAGCGTCCCCCCTCCCGTCCCCAGCCCACCGTGAGTGGGGGAGGGGGCTGGAGCGGAGTTAGAGGAAGAATTACGACCCCCGGGTTGTCTCTGAAATCCTAGATCGGTGATATGGCAAGGGACACCAGAAACCTGGGACTTTTCGTGGCTTTTCTTTCTTTCTTTCTTTCTTTTCTTTTTTTTTTTTTTAAAGCGAACCTGGGTAGTCTGGGAGCTATACCTTTGAAAAGAGCCCTGTTGCTCAGAGCAGATAACCCAGGGCTGAACTCTTGGGGTTTTGCTATGAGGGGTGCGGTCTAGCTTGGTATTTGAAGGTAACGGACTGTGCAGCGTAAGGCTCTCGCCGGATCCTATTTTAAGATTCTCCACCTTGCATTGTATTTTACGCCTAAGTGGAGAGAAGCCACCCACCCCCACCCCCACCCTCAAACGCCCTCCGCCGCATTTGCATGGAGCCTTTTTGTGGTTAATTTGCTGTTAGTAGGAAATCTTCCAAGTGTTTAGCGTCTTTTTCTCAGTAATTGTGGATGCTTTTCCCTGTTTGTCTTATCTTGCTATGGCAAAAGATCGGTCCCATTCAGACTATTTGGTTTCTGTCCGTGAAGCATTTCTCTGTTAAAAATTAGAAATAATTCTATTAAGAATGAGCATTTTTTTTTAAGAATGAGCATTTTTTAAAAGAACATTTCAAAAACATTTGTACTTTTTTTTTTACCCTTTGTATTTTTTTAATATAGTAATCACATCTAGAACTAATTTTATAAAACAGTTTTTAAGGGTGACTAAAATATATCAGGATTTTTAAAGGCATTAAAAAAAATTTCCCCCTGCAACAGGGTCATTGTTGTATTATTCATGGTTATATCACATAAAATGATACAGTGAAATGCTGATGTATTTAATTGGAAAATCCATGTTCTTGGTGGCAGATGAAATACATTATTCCAGGGCCATCTTGTGGATTAAATAGATCCTCTCTGTCTTTTGTGTTCCCTTGCAGTAGGGAAGCCACAGTGCTAAAGAACAGAGAAATGATCCTAAATCATTGAGCATTTTGCCTCCCCCATCTACCAGGAAATGAAGTGGGAACAGAGACAAAATTCAGTACATCTTGTAATTTGAAGCACCCCTTTAACTGTCAGCTATAGTATTCACTGTATTTTTCTACTAGTTAGGTAGCTGTAAGCATGTAAGTAAACAAATAAAGAGAAGACAGCTCTAAAAAGCCTTTTATTTCTTGCAATTAGATCCAAAAGTGTGTAAATGAACTGTTCTTTCCATCAACATGTGGTAAACATGCTCAGAGGAGAAGACAGCCCAGCCAGAGATAAGAGATTAGAATCCATGTCTCAGGCTGAAAAAACAATCACCTCTGTCACACTTTCTTTCTGGTTTTTAGGATTCCTATACAAACTAGCCTTCATTTTCAAGTAGTAAGTTAATTTATAGTTCCTATTTTTTTTTTTTAGCAATACTCACAACAGGTAATCTGAGTTTTGACCATTTTAAAATGTAAATCTAGAAATGCTATTTTTTCTTTAAAAAAAAAAAAGGAAAAGACAATTTGGGATCATTTGTCAAATGCCCCAGTTTTTTATGTTCAATGCCAAAATGCAGTGTAGACACTTATTTCTATTAACTGTTCTTTGTAGCAGGTATGAAGCAGTTAAGACACACACACAATGTTTTAGAAATGTGATTTATATTCTTCTTTACTAACAGATCTTATCTATAATCCTTTTAACTAGATTGGGGGATGGTGTCTATGATACCTTCATGATGATAGATGAAACCAAGTGCCCACCCTGTTCTAATGTACTCTGCAATCCTTCTGAGCCGCCTCCACCCAGAAGACTGCATGTAAGTAAAGGACGTAATTCTTTGTGTTCTAATTGTCTTGGAAAAGATAAAGTGCTAAATAATACTCAAGGTGTGGTTATGTATCACTGGCAACACAGACTCTTTTGTTGTTGTTTCTTTTGATTTCTTCTGGCTTTGGAAAAACAATTTCTGTGGTCCAGGTTTAGATTTTCAAATTCATTTTGATTTGGAGCCCACCTCTTTGAGTTCCTACTCAGATAAATATATGACACTGGGAAAAAGATTTTATTTAGGTGATATTTATTTTAGTAGAGGATAATATAGAGTATCACAAAGGCTCCTTTTAACAAAAACAAGCAAAAGAAATTATCTCAGAATGTGTGGATCTGCAGAATTCTTCCTGCAAGATAGAAATGCAGTCCTAGCTTATTAGTATGCTAAAAAGAACCATTTTATAACTCATAAATTAAACTTGAACAATACAACTTGTTTTTTGATGAATTTAATCATTTTAGGAACTGCAGACATTAGCTTTTGATGCTGTTTTACGGAAGATAATGATAAAATTTATTCATTTTTCCTCAGCATACACAGACCAGTAGGCAGAGCAGGGTTTGAACAAGTTTCAAGACAAGGAGAAACTATCCTGTGACTTAAATTGCACATGCCACCTAATGAACATATTGAATACTTGAATTTAATTTGTAACATTTCTCCTTCATGTTTCTGTGTTTAAGACCTGAAAAAAAATGTTGTGCTATGTCCCCCGCCCCCATCAGAGATTGAACCAAGGGCTTCATACATGGTAAGCAGGCAGTGTACCACTGAGATATATCCAGAGCAATTTTTGTTTTGAGTCAGGGTCTCACAAAATTGCTCAGGGTAGCCTTGAGCCTTTGATCCTCCTGCCTCAGCTTCCTGAGTTGCTGGGATTACAGGTGTGCCTCACTATACCTAGTCTAAAATTGTTACTATGTAGCAAAAATTACTTGCATTATTCCTATTCCATTCCAGGTTTTTGCTATTAAAATCAACACTTTCCACCCCTTTCAAGGCTAATAATATTACAAATCATGGGCTAAAATTATTTGGAAGGGTGGTCATCCCATTTCTGGAGTAAAGTAGGGTTTCTTTCCATTCTCTGCAGGGTTCATTTCCATTCTCTGCATTTTCTTTCTTTTTAAAAACTTCCAAGAACCAGAAGAACTATGTCTACTTGTGTTGACCATTAGATTTCGTGATGCCAGTTCTAGATCACTGTTGGATGCTGATTACAGTTGAGTTGGTGTGTAAACATCTGATTTCAGTTTAACATCAATTCAGGGTTGATCCATGCTGATAACCTTCCAGTAGGTCACTTAAATTATATGTTTCAAAATCAAAATGAATTTTTTATTGCCTGGTGTTCAGAGTAACAGTTTTGGGAAGCATAGATTTTTAGATTCTAATGCAATGGTATCTTTACAAATTTTACTAAAAAAAAAAAAAAAAAAAAAAAAAAAAGTTTGACCTGTTGGTGACACTTATAGTTCATTATACTATGACTTTATCCTGCGCTCCTATTGCTCTTTACACAAAGACTTTTAGCTTTGTCATTTATTCTAGATGCTCTTACATATTCATTATAAACTAAATCATTGACCTAAAGGTTGTTACTGGGTTAAATTCTGTGTTGCAGGGATATAGATAGGGTCAGGAGGTAGGTAAAGGATAGGTTTTTTAATATCTGGATGAGAAGACTATTCCTCTGAATTATCAACAAGATTTTTAAGACTCAAATAATGCAGTAGAAGATTGTATCTGAAACATTGAAATTTACACTGTATATGAGGCATTGTTAAGAAATAAAGTATGGCCAGGCTTAGTGGCACACATCTATAATCCCAGCGATTTAGGAGGCTGAGGCAGGAAAAATCACAAGTTTGAGGCAAACCCAGGTAATTTAGCAAGACCCTGTCTCAAAATAACATAAAACAGACACTGGAGGTGTGGGTGAGTGGTAAAGTAACTGTGGGTTCATTTCCCAATGTGGGAGGATAGAAAAGGAGGGAGGCAAGAAAGAGAGAGAGAGTGAGTGAGAGAGAGAGAGAAAGAAAGAAAATATGGTAAATCTGGATCTCTGGAAATAATTACATGGTATCAAAATATTTTCTTATTATGATTATAATCTTAGACCGGAATTTTTTATAATTATTACATGTTAACATGTGAACACTGTAGATTCTCTGAGAACAGTGGAAGGAAGGTTTTATTTATAGCACAGAAGACTTGATATATAATTAATTCAGGCCAGTATTTGAATTATTTACAGGAAAGGAGAGAAAGATAAGGAAAGAACCACTCCCCCTGTGTGGAAAAATTCCTTCCTGGAATTCTGCAGGTTTGCTGGAAATGCAAACCTCTATACTCCTTAGCGGACTACACCCTGGGTAGTATGTTCTGTTCTGGAAGCCACACCTTAAGAGAGACATAAAGTACAGCCCATAAAAATAACGTGAACAGAGTATTAAGGAAATCCAACACATGGCGGGCAAGGTGAGAATAGTTGATGGAGATGATGAACTTGCAGAAGAATGGTGGGGTCAGGGATACAGCAGCCATTTTTAGGTATTCCAAGGGTTCTTACATGAAATTTGGATACTTCTGTATTCTTCCTGAGGGCAAAGTAAGGCTTATTTGCAGAAAGAGATTGAGTCTCCCTTTAAGGTAAAACCATGAGTCAGGAAATCCCAATGACATCCTTCATCTTATGGTAATAGTTCTATGGTAGTTAAATTTCTATTAGATTTCTATTCTTATTAACGTACTGTGCCTGAGACACCCTCTCTTATCACAAACAAATGGAAGACCTTCAGAGCCAGCTCAAGGCAAGGGCAGTCTTATATGTAGACAGAATAGGTGAAATTTCCAGGGATGGACCCTGGACCATAAATACCTTTCCTACCAGCTTGTCATTGATGACTGCAGTTCTTAGGCATTCTTTTGGGTTAAGGCATTGTTTTCCATTAAAGTTCAACTACCACTGGAGAGGTAGCACATTAAATTGTATAGCAAGTTGAAAGCAGGCTTTGTGCCAGGGAGAAAGTGGGTGAGATGTTTCGTGAGGAGGCCTGTTGAGTGGGCCCACATTGGGCAGAAGCTGTATTTAGATGCTTAGTGGAGGGAGACTGAGATTGAGGAAGCCACCAAAGAGAAATCATTAGGGAATAGGGGAGAGTGTAGGAATTTAAATCTTATTATATTGAAAATTTTGCCTAATCATAACTAGAATTTGAACATGCTTTTCAGTTTGTGAGGTCTTTCACATATATTATTGATTATAGTTTGATCCACACAACATCCTGCAATTAGATATTATTATTCATGTTATATAGATATAAAAAAAAAAAAAAGATGAAGAACAGTTCAAGTAACCTGTCCAGAGACCTACAGCTTTTAAGTACTATAGCCAGTACCCAAACCTGGGCCTTCTAACTTCATTCTTTAGAATATGTTCCAAAAGCTATAGCAGTAAATATTTAGGTACATTAAAATTAGGTAGTAAAAATTTTAAGGAAAACAGGCAAAGATGGTGTGCAGATGTTCATTTTCTGTTATGTAAATCTAACTTGAACCAAATGTTTATAATTCTTTCCTCATTCAGCCAAATTTATTCCCTAATACATAGTAGTTCTGTAAGGAAAAAAAAACACATCTGTTTTTTAGCATAGGTGCTAAGTTGTAAACTCTGAGTGTTCCAGTGAATACTGGATGGGTGGCTGTGAACCTCTTCTGTTTTTTCATCCCTACAAACAGGAATAGTTGTTTGACATAATTACTGATAAAAAGGATGTTGCTTTGCATTTGTCTTAGCAGGTTATTGGGACTCTGTCTACAGGCCTATTTGTTTTCTTTTCTATTTTAGTATCAGAAAAACCTCAGCGTGCCTATGTCTGGCCTCTTTAAAGCTAAATGCCAAATTGTGGCCATAATCAAACTGGTTGCTTCAGTTTTGTTTTAAGATTTTATGATAGTTCATGTAACTCTTAAGTACTCTATAAATATTGAGATTGATTAAATTATTTTTAAAGGACCAGGAAGGGACTAAGTCCTGCTTTTATAACTAGATCAGGGGCTATTTGACGTATGCCAACACTGAAAATTTTTATCCTTTTTTGTTATTTGGGTTTTCATTTTTGTATCATTTCTTTTTTTAGTTTTGGTAATATATAACTTTTGGTGACCTTAGGTTAAGTTAAAATTCAAATTTTTTAAATGTTTGATTACTTTTTAACTTATATTTGTGGAGATTTTTAACAAGTTTAGAGCTTCTCTGGAATTTTTGTCTTTGATACTGGAGGTCCCCTGAAATAGTCAGATTAGGGTCCATTCGAAAAAACAGACGTTCTTTTAAGTATCACACACTTTTTTTTTTTAAACAATAGATTTTTTTTCTTTATTCCTAGCTCATTAATGTATCTGAACAATTTTGTTTTTTTCCCTTAAATATTTATATTTAAGATATACATCATGATTTTTGTTGTTGTTGTTGTTTATTGGATGTTGAGGATTAAACCCATGGGTGCTTAACCACTAAGCCATATCCCCAACCCTTTCTCTTTTATTTTTTAGTTTGAGACAGAGTCCTAATAAGTTGTTTGGGCTTTGCTAAGTTCCTGAGGCTGCCCTTGAACTTGAGATTTTCCTGCCTCAGCCTCTGGAGTCTCTGGGATTACAGGCATGAGCTTCCACATCCAACTAGGATAAGAAATGGTTATGCACTCAAGCCAGTTAGCATATTCATCAGCTCACAGTTACCCTTTTTATCTAACTATTAATTATTTTTAGGTGTTTGGCTATTTTTGCTTTTGCTTTTGTTTTCCTTAGTCATATTTCAAAGAATCTTGTTTCAATTCACAGAATCCTATTTTAATTCAGAGAAATAAGTAGAATTTTTTTCTCTGGAATATTGTTCCTTCCAAGAAAAGTGTAAGCAAATTGAGGTAAAAGAGTAGTACTCCTTTATCTCAGAGGCACTTGGAAAAAGCTCTTCAGGGGCCTCGGATTCTTGGTTATTTATCAGCTACATTGAAAGTTGGCCCAGATGGTTTCAAGAGTTAGAATTTCCATGACTTCATGTGCTGTTAGAAGGCTGCAGTAATGTATTTGAGGACCTGGGGGTTGATGAGGAGGCTAGGTCAGAACCATAAAGATACTTGAAATAATTAGTACATAATGTTAAACAGTATATATATATATAATCAAGGGCGAATCATGTGGTATAGGCTGCAGTTAAATCATGAAGTTAATTATTATGGGCTTGAAGTAGTTCTAAGTGAAAGAGTACAATTAAATTGAGTCTGAAGGAGTAGAGGATGAGAGTGAATGTGGGGAGGGGTGAAAAGATTCTCAGGATAAGACAGACCTATGAGAAAGAACCTAGCATGCCAAGGGATGGGAAGACAATCATCCTGTCTTGAGCAAAGCAAGGCATATATAAGGATTAGGGTGGACTTAATCTTCAGGGAGTCAGGATTAATTAGGAGACCCTTGCTTTGCTCATTGTATCCTTTCTGTGTCATTTTAACCTTAAAACTAACACAATTGGACATATTTTGATGTTCTTAGGTCAGAGGGAAGATCCCTTCCTCTTACTAGTGTCTGTAACATTGTATTCATTTTCTCCTTTACAGATCACTACTGAGCATTTAACAAGAGAGCATTCTCAGCACTTTATGAATGGAGGTGAGATAAAAGTAGAACAGTTGTTTCAAGAATTTGGTAGCAGCAAATCTGGTACTCTTCAGTCAGATGGCATCACCGACTCTGAAAAATGCTCTCCAATTGTTTCTCAAGGGAAAAGTTCAGATAGCTTAAATATAATTAAATCCAGCAGTTCATCCAAAGCACCCAAAGTGGTACCTCTGACCCCTGAGCAAGCGCTGAAGCAGTACAAACATCACCTCACTGCTTATGAGAAGCTGGAAATCATCAATTACCCAGAAATTTATTTTGTTGGTCCAAATGCCAAGAAAAGACATGGAGTTGTTGGTGGTCCCAATAATGGGGGATATGATGATGCTGATGGGGCCTATATTCATGTCCCTCGAGACCATCTAGCTTATCGGTATGAGGTGCTGAAAATTATTGGCAAGGGGAGTTTTGGGCAAGTAGCTCGGGTCTATGATCACAAACTTCGACAGTATGTGGCCCTGAAAATGGTGCGCAATGAAAAGCGCTTTCATCGTCAAGCAGCTGAGGAGATCCGGATTTTAGAGCATCTTAAAAAACAGGATAAAACTGGTAGCATGAATGTTATCCACATGTTGGAAAGTTTCACGTTCCGGAACCATGTTTGCATGGCCTTTGAATTGCTGAGCATAGACCTTTATGAGCTAATTAAAAAAAATAAGTTTCAAGGCTTTAGTGTCCAGTTGGTACGCAAATTTGCCCAATCTATCTTGCAATCCTTGGATGCTCTTCACAAAAATAAGATCATTCACTGTGACCTGAAACCAGAAAACATTCTTCTGAAACACCACGGGCGCAGTGCAACTAAAGTCATTGACTTTGGGTCCAGTTGTTTTGAGTACCAGAAACTTTACACATATATCCAGTCTCGTTTCTACAGAGCTCCAGAGATCATCTTAGGGTGCCGCTACAGCACGCCTATTGACATATGGAGTTTTGGCTGCATCCTTGCAGAACTTTTAACAGGACAGCCTCTGTTCCCTGGAGAGGATGAAGGAGATCAGTTGGCTTGCATGATGGAGCTTCTAGGAATGCCACCACCAAAACTTTTAGAGCAATCCAAACGTGCCAAGTACTTTATTAACTCTAAGGGCCTACCTCGCTACTGCTCTGTGACTACTCAGGCAGATGGGAGGGTTGTACTTGTGGGGGGTCGCTCACGTAGGGGTAAAAAGCGGGGTCCCCCAGGCAGCAGAGACTGGGGGACAGCACTGAAAGGGTGTGATGACTACTTGTTTATAGAATTCCTGAAAAGATGTCTTCATTGGGACCCCTCTGCCCGCCTGACCCCAGCTCAAGCATTAAGACACCCCTGGATTAGCAAGTCTGTGCCCAGACCTCTCACCATTGAAAAGGTGTCAGGGAAACGAGTAGTTAATCCTACAAATGCTTTCCAGGGACTGGGTTCCAAGCTGCCTCCAGTTGTTGGAATTGCCAGTAAGCTTAAAGCTAACTTAATGTCAGAAACCAGTGGTGGTATACCTCTGTGCAGCGTGTTGCCAAAACTGATTAGCTAACGGACAGTTCAGAGATGCATATGTATGTATTTTAATACTTTGCAAACCTGCAAATGGAAAACAGTGTAAGCCTGTTGGTGGATATGTTTTTGTTAGACTAGACTTCTTTTTTTTTTAACAAGACAAAACATTTTTATATGACTATAAAAGAACTCTTCAAGGGCTAATTACCTAACCAGCTTGTATTGGCCATCTGGAATATACATTAAATGACTTTTTATAGGTCAATGCATCTTTCTTATTATCATCAGATGTACTTCAACCTTGTATATTTTATTGGGTTTGAATCTCTTTCTTCCAAGATGGATGGGATACCAAAAATATATGCTCACTACTCCTATCTCCCTCAGCATCTCTTTTGGAGGGATAATTGGGAAGTTGTGGTAGTTGTAGAGGAGATGCAAAGCTAGATCTCTTGCTCCAGCAGGCCATTCTGTGGGCTTATTCTAAGTGAAGGGGCTCACAGCAGAATATGAGGTGAGGGAGCACCTCAAAGCTATTGGTCACCTGTACAATTGATGTCACTGTTTTTCACTTCCCATTATGCACAGTATTTTTTATTTATGTTATTATTGCTATTATTTTGCCTCAGCTTTGTTCCTGGACACTTACAGACGTCTCACCACCTTACCAAAAAACCTTGTAGGTTACTGCTGGGGTTTGAATAAGTCTTCCCCAAAGGCCTGTGTATTGAAGGCTTGCTTGGTCCCGGCCCTCAGTTCTCTTGGGATGTATAGAACCTTTAAGAAGTGGGTCCTAGTGGAAGGTTTTCAAGTCCATTGGGCACTTGACCTTGAAGGGAATTGTGGGACCCTTGTTTCTTTCTCTTTCTCTTTGATTCTCAGGCATTAGGTGAACGGCTTTGCTCTGCCACCACAATGTTATTCCCACCACAATGGCCACTGCAGACCCAAAGCAATGAGGCCAATTGGTCATGGAGTGGAACCTTCAAACTGTGAGCCAAAATAAACCTTTTCTCTTTATAAAAAATTGATTTATCTCAGGTATTTGTTATAGTAATAGAAAGCTGACTCACACAGGGCCCCATTTTAACACCAAGTCATAAACATTATTTCTCCCCCATCTCCAAGGAAGATAAAGCAACTTCTTTGCCCTCAGCTACCTCCAAATGTTAAAGGTAGAATCAGCATGAAAACTGCAATTTCCTAACTCCTTGGTCATCTGTGGTCTAGCTGCTTGCTGGATTTTTGTGGATTCCTGTCCTTGTGAAACAGACCTCTGTTAGGTAAACTCGCTACGGTTTAAATGTTTTCCTTCTCTCTTTCCAGCCACGTACCACCTTTATATGCCACATTTTTCCACTTTCATTTTGAGCTGGGCACCTTCCTAGATTCTGAGCAGACTTCAGTTATATGATGAAAATTGTTTAAAAAATCCAGAAACTTTGATAAGGCAGTTTCCCCTTTGTTTCTCCTAATTGCATATTCTTCAACAGGCTTTCTTTTTCTCTGCTAAGATTGAAAGTTAAACAGTGAAGGCTGGTAATACAACTAATTGCTGGCCAAATGGCTTACTGGACTCGGAGAGCTTGTTGGAAGGTTCTAGCAGAAGAGCACAGCTACTCATATACCCTTGACTGAATAAAGGTCTTCCTCTATCAAGGAACTTTGTCCTCTTTGAGCACACAGCTTTGGGAGAGATGCTGATAACCTTTCCCCAAAAAGAAAGATATAAGAGATTGAACAGGTCAACTTAAAGAAGACATGAGCACAGTAGATTTCTGGAGCGGTGAGAGAGGACGAGGACATCTGCCTAGCCAGCCAGATCAGCTGAGTCAATGGGGTTACAGATTTCGCAGCCAGATCACCCTAAAATCCCTGAATGGCTTTCTGGAAAGGTGGAGAACTAAATAACTCTCTCAGTGCTACTGATTATTTTTATTTTTATTTTTCCTGTTCATTCCTCTACTTCTGTGCTCCTCAAGAATGAAAGTATCTCCAAGTTCTGTCCTCAGTGTGTGTTCTTTGAGCATAACAGTTCTCAGAATGACCTCATTCAGTTTTTATTCTAGAATCTAGTATCCGAAAACTCCATGAGATTGGAAGGAGGCTTCTTTATTGGATGACACAGTAACCAGAGGGGAAGAAAAAATAGCTATGGGCACATTATTTAAGGAACTTTGACCTTAGCCACATTATTCCTGGCTGTTTCAATGCAGATGTGGACAGTGAGAACAGAGACCTCAGACTCTTCCAAAGAAGGAAGTCTTGATACTTTTGGTGACTGAAGAGCTGGATTATTTAAAAACCTTAATGATCATGTTTACTCCTGGTTTACAGAAGGCAAAGGAATAGACAACTCCTTTAGAGCCTTCTAACTTCTGCTGAATTCTCTAACTTGCTGGAGAAGTTGGAGAGTCTCCCGCATTATCTAGGCAGAGCATATGTTGAGGTTGTTTTGCTCAGTGTTATCAGAGTGGGAGACCTGCTCTCACAAACAGCTAAAAGGATTGCTGCCCCAAATGACGCACAGTAGATTTCTGTGTTGGAGTTTCTGTGAGCAATCTCCATGGTTAGCCAATGCTGCACCTGAACTTGGGAGAGAAAGGAGCCTCTATCTGAGACTGGCATGTGCTCCATTCTGTGTAGTGAATGGACTGTGAGGTCACTGAAACTGAGCGGAGGTGAAAGGATATAGACAGCCTATGACACTGTAGAGAAATTCTAAAAGATCTGGAAAGGTGAATGTATGTGCTTTGGCCTAAATTTGGCAACCAGGAGAGTGATGCAGAGCAGAGTCATTCAAGTTGGCATGCCTGCCTTCTGCGGGTGGGTTCAAGTTTGGGGAGAGTGGGCTGATTTAAAATTTGGTGCTGGCTGTGCAGATAGATTTGAGGAGATTTACGGGTGTGTTAAGTTCAGAACAAGTTGTGGTTTTAGAGGCTGTCACCCTGTGCCCTCTTTTAAATGTTCACTTGAATCTCTGCTCAGCCCTAGCAGTGACTGACTGAATTGGACCAAAGTTCATGCCGACATTCATGCTGTGGCTTACAGTGAGTGACCAGATTGTTCTTTAGTTGCTATTGTTCTAGCCATGTCAGTTAAACAGATCAAGTGGGTTGACTTACTGATTTCCAAAATGGCAAAATCAACTGAATTTACAAATTGTTGTTTACATAGTAGAAAAGTTAGATCAGAATTTTTGTTTTATTTCATTTTTAAAATAATTTTTTTTTCTTTCAACCTGGGAACTTGGCTAATCCAGTTAATACCTGCTCATATTATTACACTGTATTCCATCTTCTACCCCCAGTGATTCATCTGTTTATTCCTGTGCTTTCATGATTTCTTCTTTAAGAATGGACAGGCCTATGTTCTTATGATATTCTGAATTAACATATTTTTTCCTTTTTTTATGGTACTGGGGATTGATCCCACAGCTTGGCACATGCTAGGGATGCGCTCTGCTGCTCTTACCAAGCAGCAGAAGGGTGCCTGTTGATAATGTGCAGATCATGAAAGCTCATTTCCTTCATGTACAAGGAGCATGCTCACGTCTTCTTTAAGTTGACCTGTACAATCTCTTATATCTTTCTTTTTGGGGAAAGTTTATCAGCTAAGGGTAACATGAGGCCACTTTCTTCTGGTCCAAGAGCAGACACAATTACCTTGGAAACAATGAAAAGAAAAATGCAGCCATAACTTGTGATGAAGGATTCTGCTTCTGTCCCACAGTGGGTTCTGTGAAAGAAGAGAGTTTAGGCAAGACCTTCTTTCCAAGAAGAAATTGACTTAAACCATATTTGCATACTTTCTTCTTAGGTGTCAAAGGGTGTTTGGGGTAAATAGGGTAACTGGCTAATGCAGCATGTTAGTTTTATAATATTTAATCTGTTAAGAAAGGGCTTTATTGCATGGTCAGAAACCAGAAAATTAAATAACAAATTTCAACCATGAAACAGTTTCATTCTGTAGCAACTGGTTATGTTAAAATACCTTTGATTTTTGTCTAATTCCCAACTAGACATAATTAAATGCTAAATTTTAGGTAGCAGCTGATAAATGGTTGTAAGCTTTCCAGACAGAGCACTCCTATTGTTTTAATGAATCATGGAAAACTTTGTCATTTATTTTTAATTCTTTTTTTTTGCATCTATTATTTGATGTCATCAGCATGAGCACGGAAGTTGGAAAGGTGACAATGATTGTTCTAGACAGCCTCCATATGCTTTTTCTCATCTGTGAATTAAGGATAAGTACTTATCCTTGAACTAGGCAGGATTGCCAGCAAATGTCTTCCTCTGCCTCTTCAGACTCACCGGACATGATGAGTCTATATACACTGCCTATACATAGAGCAACTGCAGACAGCTGTGATATGGAAAACTGGAGCCCACATAAATAAGAAGTAAGAAAAGGCCAGGGCTTGGCAAGTCAAGGAAGAATTGTCCTCTGCCAGAGATCAACCTCCTAATTTTAAATCATGTTTTCATTATCCTCATTTCATCATGTCCCTCTTTCAATTTCAATCTATACTTCCTGAAGCCCAAGAATTTAAAAGAACTTCTGGGCTTGATGAAGGGTAACCCTTTCCAAGTGTCTGTTGAATTAGGCCTGCTGATTTTAATGAGAAAATTTTTTGAGTATCACAGTGAACCCATCCATGTAAGGACTAAAAGCTCGCTGGTTCCTGAGATCCATAACTCCTGAGATAAACCAGAGCCACAAATATATTGTCTAGACTTTGACAGAGCTGGATATACTTCTTAATATAGCTCACCCACTGCTAAGTTGAGCCAAAGCTCTGATATTTTTCTATAACAGGAGAAGCCTGCCTGACGAGAGACTAGAAAGATTCTTACCTCCTCTGCCACCACACAAATAGACTAAAGAGAAAGCAGAGCCCCAGATAAGGCCAAATGGTGACCTGTGGCTATTTCAGCTCAGAATGTCAGCCTCCAAACCATTAGGTTTAAGTCATTTTGGTGTCATGGGATTCTATCATTGTTCATTTGAGCCTGCTGACACGCTTCCTCTGGAAAGTGCGGCTTAGCATGGATGAGTCAGTGTTTTGTTTTGTTTCTTCTTATTTCAGGATGTTTGTTTTTAAAAAATATATAAAGGAATTGTTGTGAGAATTTTTTTAGCATCTTGTGATTGCTTCACAGCCAAGGCATAGAGCCATTTCAGCAGGACCTGAGTGCCACACGCTGAAGCCACCCTGTCCCTGAAGCAGGGTGAGAACCAGTCACTCTGGATAATTTGGGCTGTGCTGCAGGTACAGACTCTCTGACTTGATGGGATGATGAAGAAAGAACAGTGCTCAACAAAGGCAGTGCTGGGGTGGGGCAGGGAGCAGAGGAGAAGCAGTCTTGCCAGGACTAGGCCAGTGTTCCTTTTAGTGTCCAGAGCTGCTGTCACTAGGCTGGTTTGTGAGCTGTGGCATTGCTGAGGACAGGAAACTGAGGAAATGTGTAGAATTCAGGGATGAACACCTTCTTGGGAACCCTGGCTGTCAGCAGTCCATCAGGAAGCCTCACATAGACTCTCTGGGGTCCAAGCTTGGTTTAGGGATAAAGCCTCACAAACAGCTTCCTGGAGTACAATTTATTTGGGAAGTTTAAGTGTTTTTTAAGGCTCCTGCCTTGGCCTGTGGTAGAACTGAGTAAATGGAAGGAGAGAGGGAACAATGTGCTTAGGGGCCTTTGGGCTTCTCTGCTCCAGCCTCTTCTGATCTGGCCCTGGGCCATTATTGCCCTGGCAACAGGAGCTAATTGGACACTGAACTCAGGGACTGCCTTCTGCCATCCCTGAATTGCCCCCCAGGTTCTTGAACAGGCTTTCTGCCTTACAGGAGCTTGGCCAAAGCTAGAAATGGGCCTTCCCATATTCGTAGGAAGCAACTGCATGTTGGGTAAACTGACTGCTGCTGGTGGAACTATAAGGCAGGCAGAATTTAAAAGAATATCTAGCCCTCAATACAGATGTTAAAATTAACCCATGATCAAGTACACAGCACTGCCATGACATTTTTTGCCATTTAAGACAAAAAACTATCAGGTTAAAAAAGGCAGTGAAAAGTGCAGTGCTATAAGAAGGAATTTGTCAGTCCAAAGGCAAAAATCGTGAAGTGACTACAGCCTGACCATGCTGTGATGCTGACTAAAGACCAAACTTGACCTTACCATAGCATAGGCACAGTTTGACAGGTTGGCTTTGTTTTGCAGAGGTCACCTGGCCTACCTTTGCATCTTTGCTGCTGGTGAACTGATGTGGAACAGACCCAGGACACCCAGTCTGAACACCGCAGAGGGCGGAGCCCTGGCCCAAGCCCAATTCACCTCTGCTCTTCTTGAAGCAAATTCATACATGCCTGGTGACGCATTTATTCTTACAACAGTGACTTATGGAGCATGTTTTATGTGCCAAGGGAGTACTCCAGTGGTGTTTTTGGAGGTCAGGGAGCATGGACAGCATTGTAGACCACAGGTTCAGAATTTAACAAAAGCTGGGCAAATGGGTTTAGGGGAAATTGCCAAGAAGTGACCTACAGGCTGTTCTGATTTTAAAATTTGTATAAATCTGCAAGTAAGTCAGGTGGAAAAGGGGGATGGTTTCGAGAGAATGTTCTGAGTGTGCAGTACATTCCGGGTTGGGTTCTGAGCTGAAGGGGGAGGAAGATGGCAGGACTGAGAGCTGAGGTAGACATGCCATCCTCTGCTTGGCTCCACTCCCTGTTGCTGACCTTGGAGGGGAGATAGGCTTCCTCTGAGGTTTCTCTCACCTGGATTCGGAGCAGGAGTTTGACGTTGCTGCTCCCTCACCAAACTGATTCTGTCCTCAATTAGCCATTGAAAGCAACCAATAAAGAGGAATTAACAGTAGAGTCTGGCTCCCATGCCCCGCCCCCCATTTGCCTCAACATCTAGCTGGCTGCTTTGCTGTTTTCTCTGGTTGCCAAATCAACACTGCTCATTTATTTATTTTTTTAGTTATACATGAACACAATATCTTTATTTTTCTATTTACTTTTATATGGTGCTTAGGATCAAACCCAGTGACTTACATGTGGGAGGCAAGTGCTCCGCCATTGAGCCACAACCTCAGCCCCTCAACATTGTTCATTTCTGTCCCATCAGCACAACTAGTCAGAGCCCAAGACTGAAGTGAATACATGGAACTGGCTGAGAAACTGCATCCTGAGACATTTTCCTGCAGTTTTTGAGCAGATGTCCCACATTGTCTTGGTTCCAGTTCCTTCTCATTAAACCCCTTTCATTCAAGAGCCCCTTACTTCTTGGAACCTAAAGTCATTGTGTGCTTTAAAACACCAGAGAGATGTCCAGGCAAAGTTGCCTGAGTGACAGGCGGGAGGCTTCCGAGTTCTTTGGGGACTGAGAGGAGAAGCAGATCACAGGTGCTTCCTTTCGGTCCAGCTAAAATAGCAAGGGTCAGGTGTTTTTGTGGTGGGTCTTCCTGCAGGGACAACTGTTTCCCAACTACTGTGTCACATCACCCCTCCTGCCCCTTCCAAGCTCAACCTGGCCGGAGGCAGCTGCATTTCAAAGACAGTAATGCCTCTGTTCTTTATTTATTCCTGGCTTTAAATCTGCTCCATCCAGAGGAGGATGAAGGGAAGGCAGCATTAGCTGGAAAAGCCACTCCGGGACTGGAGGACACAAGGCAGAGCCTTCCCAGGCCAGAGTTGCAGCTTATCAAGTCAGAAACCTGTTGGGAATAGGCAGGAGCCTCCTGCCACCTGGAGGTGGTCTTTCCCTTAACCCTTGAACTGCACTTCTCCAGTGGCTCCCCCAGGACATGAAGCCTCACCTCCCTCCTTTTTCTCTCTGCCTCCCTTTCATTCTTCAGTTAATGCCCAGTGCCTTCTCTGTGCCCATTGCTATGCTGGATCCATTTAAACATGAACATACATGTACTTGCTCTCTGGAGACTCAAAATTTACTGGGATGTCGAACAGGTAAAGAATTGCGACACTATGGAGACTGAATGAATGATGACCGAACTCTTCCCAACTGAAAAAAGACTCTAAGAGTTAAATTGGGGACACCAAATACCCTTGTCCCTTTGGTTCACAGCAGAGACAAGGACTGGAGCTGGTTCTCCATGCTTCTATCACCATGGCCTCACCCCCCACTGTTTATATTGCATTTCCAGTAGCCCCTCTTTCCCTGCCCCTTAGTCAACTCCCCAAAGCTGCCTAAATGGGCTTATTTTTACCTACTGGGTTGGGAAAGGGGCAAGGGCCGAGGCTGGGGCAGTTGAGAGTGGCGCCAGCTAGGGCTTAAATATAATGAGAAAGCCCCTTCCTGCCAGCTCTGCCTGAGGAGAACCCAGTAGGAAATAAATAGCACTGTGTGCCCTGCTTGGACTCCAGGCCCCCATATGTCTGCCTGGCTGCAAGCCAGTCACAGGAGCCGAGGCTGGTTAAAAAGAGATCTTGGTAATCTCCCAGTTCAGTTGTCTCTTCTGGCATGAGAAGCCACGAAGGTGCCAGCCTTTCTTTATGGGGCCTGAGTGGACAGGGAGGCACAGGGGGAAGGGGCAATTCAGGCCAGGGAGGGAGTCGGCCAGTGAGACTTTGCCCCAGGCAAAACTATCAGTCCTCAGCTGCTGGCACTGGAGAAGGGTGATAACACTGGGGAGGGCAGAGAAGTTGAGAAAGAAGAAGCCTGGCAAAAGTTCCACAGGCAATCTTAGTTTGGCCAAGGTCTTGTTTCCTACACACCCCCACCTGCACGTAGGAAGGCATGGGCACACACACACTGTATCTTTTCTCTTTCAGTTTTGTCCCCTTGCATTCCCTCCTGCCCCCAAACTGCCCTTTCCTGGGACTTGGGCCCTGCTTCTTTCTAGGCCTCAGTTTCCCCTTAGGCAGCATGTTTCCGATCTGTGCTCAGGGCCTTTTGGCAATCTAGGACAGTTCACAGCAAGAGGCTCCTGGGAAAAGAGCTCTCACTCTGGAAATGATCTTTTTACTGAAGTCACAGAACTAGGTTAAGTGATTCAGCAAGCCCAAGACCTCCTTGTTCAGACCTGAGTTCCCTGAGATGTTGGGGAAGGAACTCTTGAGTCCAGAGACTCATTTGCTCCATGCCTCCTGCTGAGGAAAGTGTCCTGTGTATTATGCTTGGACGGGTGCAACCCAAGAACACCTGTTCACTGTAGTGGGTTGGCTGGATAGAGCGTAGAGATCATGAAGGGACAGAGAACTTGCACCCTGCAGGATGACAGGTGCTGGGAATGGGAGGCCGAGGGAACAGCTCTTGCAGATGAAGCATGACCTCCAGGAGCCCAAACTAGCATGATGGCCATGGGGGTGGGAGGGCAGGACACACAGCAGTTCTTGACTACATGATTAATTTTTTTACTAATTATTTTAATTAGGTATATATGACAGCAGAATGCATTTTGATTCATTGTATACAATTACAGCACAATTTTTCATTTCTCTGGTTGTACCCAATGTAGAGTCACACCATATGTGCAGTCATATGTGTACCTAAGGTAATGATGTCCATCTATTCCACCATCTTTCCTGGCCCCATGCCCTCTCCCCACTCCTCCCTCTCTTTTGCCCTATCAAAGTTCCTCAATTTTTTCCCATGCCCCACCCCTCTCATTATGGACCAGCATCCACTTATCAGAGAGAACATTCAGCCTTTGGTGTTTGGGGATTGGCTTACTTTGTTTAGCATGATATTCTCCAACTCAATCCATACACCTGCAAATGCCATAATTTTATCCTCTTTTAATGCTGAGTAATATTCCATTGTGATATATACCACAGTTTCTTGGTTCATTTTTTTTTTCAAAAGAGAAATCAGACTTCCCCTCCGCCAACCCTATACCAAGAAAAAAAAAATTACTCCAAATTTGCATATCGAAACAGGGAAGAGAACAGAATCATTTGAGATTTCAAAAACTACTCTGGATCTCTAAAATCCACAGAGATTACTCCTAAGGTTGGGGACAAATTCCTATTTTCTCTGGTTGAGAAAGTTAATAGTGGGGGACTGGGACATAGAAGCATCTAAGGTCCTGGAGGATAATCAATTAATCTGATTCTGAGCCAAGTTTGGACCACCATGGAGCAGGCATCTGGAGAACCCTGACAGTACAGAACAAGACGTGGATGTCAAAAATGTTCCCACAGATGCTGTATCTAATTCTCTTTGAAGACAGAATAGGTCAGAGGCCATTTACAAAATGTGGACATTGTGACGGGACTGTGAAGGACACAAACAATAGCCATGTGGGAAAGGAAGAGAACAGTTGTCTGAATATTGCAGAGCACAGAGCTGTGGGTGACACTGAGGAGAGAAGAGGGCTGCCTGCTGGTGAGCTGTGACCTTTGATGGAGAAGCAGGCACTGCCACCTACAGCCAGTGGGGAGGAACCTGGGGACTAAATCCACTGACCTCACTCCCCTCATCCTATTCCCATGCCTCCCATTGGCCAAACCTAACCAGAAAACAGAGGACAAGGGAGTCTAGCTAATGCAGTCCCAAGTGGCCAACCTCATGGGACAGGGGGGCGCCGTGCAGGGTGTGGAGGGTAGATCTGGAGGGACAAACAGTACATATGGGACGGCTTCTATGACTCTAAGCAGATAAACTCACAACATCAACAGACACTTTCTTTTTCTTCTTCTTCTTCTTCTTTTTTTTTTTTCCTTTTTTTGTTTGGCATGAAATATACCAGTACTGTGTTGTTTAAAAACATAGGAAGGGAGCTTCAAGAACATGATAGCCCAGCTGGGAGACAGGAGCAGGAGCATTCAGAAAAGACTCAGAGGAACTGGGATATGTGATGAGGCTTGCAGGACAGGCAAGCAGAGTCTGGGAGTGCTTTCCTTCACTGTAGCAGAATGCCGCTTAGCAACTCAGTCCACCCCAAGGTCAAGTTTTAGATCTTCCATTCCTGAATGTTTACATGACAGCTCTGACCTGGGGAAGATCAATTTGCCTAACTGTTGGGTTCTCTGAAAGCCATTTATTAGGTTGTCCTACTGAACTAAGCAATTGCCCAAGCAATAAAAATATACTGGACCCATAAGTAGGCTGTGCTGGGAACTTGGGCTTATACTGAATAGGACACACTCCTTGTTGTCAATGAGCTCAAATTCTACATAGAATACAGACATGCAAACACAATTAAGATGTGTTTGGTAGGAGAGATAATGGGACTATGAGCAAAATTCTAGGGAAACAATGATGTGATGAATTCCCACGGGTGTTTAAAAATATATATTTAATTCCCACGGGTGTTAAAAAAATTTACACCAGATGCAATGGTGCACACCTGTATTTCCAGCGGCTTGGGAGGCTGAGGCAGGAGGATTGTGAGTTCAAAGCCTGCCTCAGCAAAAATGAGTCACTAAGCCGCTCAGTGAGACCCTGTCTCTAAATAAAACACAAAATAGGGCTGGGATGTGGCTCAGTGGTCAATTGCCCCTGAGTTCAATCCCCAGTACGTGTGTGTGTGTGTGTGTGTGTGTGTG